GGGTGATGTGGCATTTTTTGAGCAGAAGCTGAGAAACCGTGTTTGCTTCTTCCTTTCCTGCGCATTTGATCAATCAGGAAGCAAGCAAGTATAAACGTAGGGAGGCTTTCTCACTATCAGATATCTTTATATTGGAAATATAATCCTTGCAGACTCTTGGAGCACATCGAGACCTTACAGTAGAAGAGACATCATAGGAGCTATTTTGAACATATATTTGGTGCCCAAGGGAAATGTGTTGATCCCAGTTTATAACTGTGAGCCTAAGCAGAGTGAACGTAACCCTGCCCTCAACTTCATTTCCCCAGTGAAAAATATTCCCCGTGTTGAATCTCTTCCTTGAGAGGATTTTCAATGGGGAAGTGGCATGGAGGGGAGTTTAACACCAAATTCGTGGTACCAGTACTCTAATCTGTCCTGCCCCAACACCTGCTGTTATAGGTTTCTTTCTCTTTTTAAAATAGTTGGAAATCTGACTGGTGATAGCGTCCAAAGCAAGTCACAATTCATTGGCAGGTTTATTTGGGTGTGGGCAGTCCCTGAGAGATCCAAATCCTGAGCTTTTTAGGGCTTTATAAATGGACACCACTGATTTGAACGATGCCTAGGAATAGGCTGGGAGGAATGCTGCTGTTTAAACCTTATGTAGCAAGTGGCCTTCACCCAGGCCATTAAATATTATTTTCTCTGGTCTGCAGTACAGAAGGATGGCACCCCAGAAAGACGCTGGAGCCAAACAGGGCATCCTCGTGTGCTGAGAAATCGCCTCCCTCCATCATTCCTGCCAGAATTGCGTCTGCTTGCAGACCACAACACCCCTGAGGAGCCCTCGCTAGCACCCAGGTAAAGAATGGAGCTCGGCTGACAAGCAGAATAAGCACAAATGGTTCATAAAGTGCTGAAGTCTTGATGTTGTGGTTTAGCATCACCAGTAAGAACATCCTTGTATGTATGTATGTGTGTGTATATATATATGTATATATATATTCTTTTAAAGATTTACAGAGCTAGTGGATGGCAGAGGGAGGATCACCACTAAATTCAGCAATTCACCAAGCAGAACTGTCACTGTCAGAACACGTAGGTGTCATTCAGCCTCCACATCATTGTTTGCTACTATGGCATAAGTCGTTAGGCTAAGAGATTGTTGCCTGTGTCTTCTAGAACCTGAGGCTCCCACAAAAGTTGAAGAAACTGTAGAAGAGTCAGTCAATCAGGCACTGCAGCTATCAGAACCTGAAAGCAGCAAGAAGGAAAGTAAGTTTGAAGGAACCAAGAGCAGCGCTAGGTGATACGAGTTGAAAGGTACAAGGCATCTCCTTACTCCTCTGGTGGCGAGCGCCATCTCCTCCTCCTCCAGTTTGCTTTTAAGTGCATTATTTCAGAATCCAAAATGGATCAAGAGTGACAAGATCCAGAAAATGCAAAGACTGGAGAAGAGGCAGTTTCAGTAGATCAAAGTTTCTCAGCTGTGATATTTTACATTTGATGCAAAAGACTTAGGATGGTGTTTTTTTTAAAAAAAGGTTTTATTCTGATAAATAGTCTAGTGCATTTCAACTGGGAAATATTTATATGGCTTTCTTCATCAATTCTATCTCCTCCTCTCTCTGTCTTGTATACAGTTGGCTGTTCTGGTTACATGGTGTATGTTGTGGTTCAGCTGACATCAGTCTTACATATCCTGTCTATAAAGCAAAAATGTGTGCTTAAGAACTCTTAGCTTTTCAAATCTAGCCAGTCTATGCTGAGTAATTTGGAGTATTAGATGTTATTCATTTATAAGATTTATATAAATATAAATTATATATAAATATTACTCTTGATATGGAGGCTGTTCTAAACTATGATATGGACAAATGTGCATTAACTAATCTCACCCTAGTTGTGCTTTGCCTCAGCGCACTCACAACACAATTAAACTGTCATTAGTGGCTGCAGATGGCAGGCCCTACCCTACTTTTAGAGTGATACTGCACCTAAGCTATCAATGGAGATTCCCTGCTGTATCCACAAGATATTATGGGCTCATTCTTGTATGCAGGGCAGAAATACTTGAAAGTAAGGATGAAGAAAATATCTAAGGAATCTGACTTTATTCATTCCTTTGGGGTGGGGGTTTCTAAATATTGCTTTCCATCCTCCCTGGAAACAAAAAAAGTTTTGCTTTTCTCAGGAGAAACAATCTTGGTACATTTTAAGTGGATTGTGTTTAAAAACCAGGGTATCTCAGCCTGTCCTTTGCATCACCAGGTGACAGGCAGAACTGTTCCATCAACTTCTGCAAAAATGGGGGGACCTGTATCGCAGACACAGAGTCTTATCACTGTGACTGTAATCCTGGATTCAAGGGTAAACAATGTGAACTAGGTGAGTTGAGAGGTATAGATGCTTTTCTGAACTCTTCCCTCTGTATGATGCTCAGAGAGAAAAAATACCATGTAACAAGAAGGAATCCAAATAATCAGTGGAATAGATGCAAATATTTCTTCTGGTATTTTTTTTAAAAAATGAAAGTTATAATAAGAAGAAAGAGAATGCAGCTCCTATATTGCACTACATGATGGAAATTGCACAGAGGTTTTTCTACAGACTAATACTAAAAACAGGCCTTTAAAAAAGGATCTACTATTACTAGAAGTGTTAATGGTCATGAAACTATACCTCTTCTCTTAGCCATCCATGATGTTTTCCTAATACACAGTGGTTGAAGAGAAACTGACCAGCTTTTGCAGATAAACCATCTGGATCTCTTGATTTCCCCTGACTTTGGTCAGCAGACAATCTTTGGAGGAGTTTAGATATGGATTTTGTCTGTTTTGGAGGAAGTCTGTTTCAATCCTGACATCTCTTACATATCTCTAAATTTATCCAGGCTATGACCAGATCAAAATATATCCTTACTACAGAGATGTTAACTTCCACAATTACAGTACCAGTGAGCCAAAGATAAATCTAAATCTGAGGAAGCTGCTCTGTAATGGACTGGATGAGGGTGAATAAACTGAAAGTTAATCCAGACAAGACAGAGGTGGTGAGACAGACAAGTCAGTTGAAAGGCAGATACAGTAAAGGAATGGGGATGCAGACTGTGCTGGATGGGGTTATCCTCCCTCTGAAAACACAGGCATACAACTTGGGGGTGCTCCTGGATTCATCTGTGAGCCTGGATGCACAGGTTTCAGGGGTGGCCATGGGTGCCTTTGTCAAATTAAAACTGCTGTGCCAGCTTCATCTGTTCCTGGAGAGGTCTGATCTGGCCACAGTGACACATACCTTAGTTACATCTCACTGGATTACTGTAACATGCTGTATCATAGAGTAGTGAAGTTGGAAGGGGCCTATAAGGCCATCAAGTCCAACCCCCTGCTCGATGGAAGAATACAAATCAAGGGATATCTGCCAGGTGGTTGTCTTAATTTCTCTTTAATGGCTTCAGTGTTGGAGCACTCACCACCTCTGGAGGAATTGGTTCCACTGTGTTACTGCTCTACACTGTCTTACTTACTATGTGGGGCCACCTCCAGAAACTTCAGTGAGTCCCGAGAACAGCAGCCAGATTGCTAACGGGCTGGTCACAGGGATCACGTAACTCCCTTGTTACAGCAGCTACACTGGCTGCCAACCCATTTCTGGGCACAGTTCAAAGCACTCCTTTTTAACCTATAAAGCCCTAAACAGCTTGGGTCCAAGCTAGCTAAATGATCGCATCTCCCTCTGGGCATTAAGGTCATCAGAAGAGGCCTTTCAGTCCTCACAGGTGCATTTGGTGGGGACACAGGAGAAGGCCTTCTGTGTCTCTGTTCCCAGACTTTGGGACACCCTCCCCAGTAGGCTGGCCCCATCTTTGCTGTCCTTCCAAAATCAGGTGAAGACCTTTTTTTTCAGGCAAGCTTTCCCTTAGTGACTGGCTGCCTGAGTGGATTTTAGGGTTGGATTGTTGGGCCTTACTGCTTGAATGTGTTTTTAGTGATGCTTTTGTTTAATTTTTTTTTTTTTAGTTTGATATTTGTTCAGGGTCTTTTGTAGTATTTGTTTACTTACACTTTTCAGCTTTAAACATTGTCTTTTAATGATGTAAACTGCCTTGGATCCCTTTTAAGGAGAAAGATGGAGTAAAAATATTTCGAATAAACAAGCAAATAAAATCATCATTTGACAGAATCTATTGTGGCTTTATCAGTACACTATATTGTGAAAACAATCCAGTGGGACGATGTCTGCCTGCAAAAATAAGGCAAAGACAGGCTTTGCTTTCTCTGTCACATGCCAGCAGGCAGTGCAACAACTGCAAGCAGGAAAGGCTAAAATTGTTTCTAGTGGGAGTCCATGAACAAACAGGAATTTATGTTTTAATCTTCCTGAAATTTGCCTTGAAAACCAGGCTGTGCTAGTGTGTCTTACAGAAGCTACCTGCGTCGCTACATAAAAAACTAAGGATTGTCTGTCTAATGTCCAGTTTCTTCTCAAGTGTGAACATAGTCTAATTGCCTGAAAGTAGACCTTGGTGAAATTGCCTTTTGGATATTACAACTCAGAATCCCTGACTGAGCACAATCACCAGCCAGACTTGGCTGGGTGGTTCTGGGAAGTTACGGTAGTCCCAAAAAGATAAAATTTCAGAACTCTCCTTGCACATGACCTACACGGGTCCAGTATATATTGTGTAAACCTTCTGTTATTTGGGCTATTATCCCCCTGCTCACACCTCCAAGCTATTTTTCACCTGTACAAGAACATTTTAGACACTGTACAAGAACATTTTAGGATAGGAATGCATATAGAAAAAAAATTAGCTCTAAAGTGACATGTTTCATTTTAGAATTGTTAATGCAAGGAAAATGGAGATCAACGTGTTGAAGGCACTTTTTACCTCCTTAAACATTCTAATTTTTCTTTCTCTATTGCCCTATTTTCTCTTCAGCTTGCAAGAAAGTACCTCAGTCTTGTACTCGACTCTATTCAGAAACCAAATCCTTCCCAGTCTGGGAAGGAGGCGTCTGTCATTATCTGTAAGTACTATCCCTTCAAAGACCAGATTAGCTTTTAGCACTATATTGGGTAGCAGTACCTTCACTTTTGCTAAGCTTAATTAATTTTAATTGCATACAGTTAAGACAATTCTGACTGATGGAGACCCTTCTCAAGAGTTTTCTGGGTAGATAGAATTCAGAGGTGGTTCACCATTCCTTTCTTCTTGGGGCATCCTAGGACTGGGAAGGTGGCCCGAGGCCACACAATTGGAAGTAGAATTCCCAACCTAACTCACTGAGCTATCTAGCCAGCTGTTTACCAAGCTAACCTTAGATTAAAAAAAAATCCAGAAGAGGGAACATTGGCCTATTGAACCCAAGCTAACCTTAGATTTAAAAAAAAAATCATGGTCCAGAAGAGGGAACATTGGCCTATTGAACCACACTATGGTTATGGAATTGCCGTACATCAGGGGTGGTAAAATCTGGAACTTTAAATGTTGTTGCACATTGACTCCCATCATATGTAAACATGGTAGCCAATGGTAAGCAATACTGGGAGATCTAGTCCAACATCTTGTGGAAAAGTACAGATTGCTCATCCCTAACTTAACTAGTTAACTATGGTTTGGATAACCCTAAGACGACTGTGGAAGGAACATTTCCTTCCCCTGGCAGCCTTCCTGAATAGTGTGGGATGGAGACAGAGGGCCACATGGTCTCTACTTTTGCTTTAATACTAAGGTGAAAAAACTTTTAACAAGTCTAGTTTCCCTCTGCTTTCAGCATTACAGAATGAGAAGTTGTGTGTGTCTAAATTTTCTGTCCTACATAACTGTTAAATTTGAAAAACTTCTACTGTATCTGATCACTCTTTACCTAGAGGTCCCTAGTTGGATCCAGTCTGATCCACTGTGCTTTTCCCAACAAAGTGTTCACACGTAGATCTGTTTGATTCAGAGCTGAACTGGTTCGCCTTTTCTTTTCTCCTGTCCTTACACAACCTGTACAAGAGGTTGAACTTCAAAAGGCAAAGGAGAAAAACATGTATCTGCTGAATATCTGCTTGGCATGCAATAGTGCTAATCACAAAATGAAACTGACATCTGAAAATCTTCCCTGTCCCTCCTGAAGAGCCCATCTGAATTCCCCCATGGACAAACATTATCTGCCTTCCTTTGTTTTGTACAGTGGGGTCTTGACTTAAGAACGCCTTGAGTTAAGAACATTTTGACTTAAGAACTGCTCTCATAGGAAAATATTGACTTGACTTACATACTTAGATTTGAGTTAAGAACTGAAAAAAACCCACGTGGGTGGCAGGAAAAGTGCAAAATGTGAACTTTCAGTTAACTGTTGGCCAGTGAAAAGGGTGCCTGTCTGCTTCCTCACTCCTCCTAGCGTTTAGAGAGTGGATTGGGAGACAGTCTTCAGACTGCCTGGTACTGTACTGCCTGGACTGTATTTTCCCTGCCTTCCCTGAACCTCTCTTGACCTAAGAAAAAAAGAAACAACTCCAGTGGTCGAAGGCAGAATAGCAGCTTTCCATTAGTTTCTATGGACGGAAAAGAGCAGATACGGATCAAATGGTTTTCAATGCATTCCTATGGGAAATGCAGATTTGACTTGAGAACTTTTTGACTTGAGAACTGCCTTCCAATACGGATTAAGTTCTCAAGTCAAGACCCCACTGTACTAAGCATTCACAGGTTCATAACCATGATTTGAATGCAAGCAGGATGTTCAGGAGTGATATTACCTTTTCCAAAGTAGCAGTGCAGATGACACCAGATTACTTGTATACTTTAATTTTTATTAGGAATCAAAAGCTAGTTTGTCATTTCATGTTCTCATGAAAGTTGTAATAGGACTAAGGGTATCTAGCATTAATTCACAAAGGCTACATTCCCAAGATTCTAGCAAAAAATTGAGGGAGGACTTACCAAGCTACTGATCAGGATTCATTCAGCACTATCCTATGTATGTTCACCCAGAAGTGAGCCCCGCTGTCTGTGATGGGGCTTATTACTAAGCAAGTACACACACAGAACCACAGACTTAGGTTTCTATTACTGACATTCACAAATAATTTTAAATTGAGGTTTGCTGGGTAGTTTCCAAGATGTTACAGAGAATGAATGAGGCAGAGGCTTTTTGGTGAGTGGTGGGCAATTCTGACCTGGCTATCAGTGATTTTGGTGGCGGTATCCATCTGAGTGTGCGATGTGGTGGCACTGCGGGTTAAACTGCAGAAGCCTCTGTGCTGCAAGGTCAGAAGACCAGCCATCGTAAGATCAAATCCATGCAATGGAGTGAGTTCCCGTCGCTTGTCCCAGCACCTGCCAGCCTATCAGTTCGAAAGCATGTAAATGCAAGTAGATAAACGGGTACCACCTCAGTGGGAAGGTAATGGCCATGTGACCACCGAAACTGTCTTTGGACAAATGCTAGCTCTACAGCTTGGAAATGGGGATGAGAGTCAGACACAACTGGACTAAATGTCAAGGGGAACCTTTACCATTTTCTATTCATCTGAGGACCTAGGAAATTGGGAACATCATTCTTTGTGCTTGAAGTTTTTCTTTCAAAGTAGGGAGGTCAATTGAAATGTTATTGTTATGTGATACGTTCAAAGAGTGGTTAATCAATGCTGTTCCCCAATTAGTAGGGAGTTGAACCCAGGTCTCTGGAGTCCTTGTTCAGCACTCTGTCCACTGTACCACACACTATAAATGGACAGGGAAGCTGAAGTTCTGTATGTGTGGCTCACAATGAACAACACTATTGCGCCTGTATAGACTTCCAGTCATGCCTGTTCTCTGACATATGTTTGTTATTTTCCTAGATACAAGAGGGTCTACAAAGTGCACCAGGACGTGTGCTACAAGGAGACCTGTGAGAGCACTGTTACAAATAAAGCACTCAACAGGTAATCTGTCCTTGATGGCTGCATGACAAACCATTTCTGTGGGCAGAAATCTAAAACTGGAATGCTATACCTACATAGCTTTATTACCCAGTCCCTGATGTCCTCATAGTACTCATTCTTAACCAACCAATATTTGGACGTTTAACTAACACTATGCTTAAAACTGCAATACTAGACCTTGCTTAACGTGAAGGAAGGCCTTTGAATTTGTATGCAGGGTTGTACTATACAGAAACTATATGATCACCTAGGACTACATCTGGGAACTTTACTCAGTGCTGGTTCTGCTAGCTGGCTTCTGTTGTGACTAAGGAATTAAGATACTGTTGTGGCTAAGGAATGTTCTGAATAGTGAAGTTCCTGCACTTATAAATTGTGCAGAATCAGAAACATCTGTTTCATATATTAAATCTTCTCTTATTGTTTCAGGAAGCAAAGTAACAGACACTGAAGCCATACAGTAAGTATCTCCGCTGGAGTTTGATAGGACGAAAGCTCTATTAGCACTATGGATGAAGCATCACAGAGTTAGGGCCTTTGTTGCAAATATGTTACACAAGTGAATCCCCAAGTGTGAAACGTTGTTACCCTGCTCCTTACAATAAGCTCCTTTTAGCATTCTCCACAGATAAGAATATAGCATGTGTTCTCTGATTGCAGCAAGAGTGAGCAGAAACAGCACTGCAATAGTGGCTTGAGTCCTGTTTGTTTCTCTTGTGCAAATAAGGGTCCATATTGCACATGGTTTTTCTTTCCTCTTACTTGTGCAAGTGAGTGCCCCTTGCATTCTTGCATAAGAAGCCCCAAGACCATAAATGTGACAAACACCAGCTCATGCGATTTTGGGGTAGAATCTGAACAGAGCAACCAGGGCAGGTATGTCTGCTGAGCAGCCGCACACTGCAGTTCACAACAGGATGCTTGTGACAAAAGACTGGCCTACTGTGAAAAGTGCCTGTATTCATGAATACAGACCTTTCTTGATCCTTGTGGCACAGTGGTTAAACTGCTGTACTGCAGTCCAAACTGTGCTCAAGACCTGGGGTTCAGTCCCAAGTAGCCCTTTCAAGGTTTACTCAGCCTTCTATCGGTAAAATGAGTACCCAGCTCCTGGGGGAGGGACAATTTCTAGCCTGCATAATTAACCTGTAAACTGCCCAGAGAATGCCTGAAGCCCTATGGGGCAGTATATAAGCAGCATGCTTTGTTTTTGAGCAGGATTAGTGAAACAGGAAAAGGTCAGATAGGACCATGTTGCCTTTATCTTTAAAAATTCCAAGGAACACCTCCATAGTTCATATTCATCTTATCCTTATATCTGATCTCTTTTAATGTTACAAAGATGTTCTGCAGCAAATGTTGTGCCTGTGTCCATGTGCACATTGAGTTGGATGTGAAGTACACAGAACAGCCTTTTGTTACGCTGCTTACGGAGAGTAGTCAAAAGCCTTTGTCTCGGTCCTTAAAAGCTCGCACGTCTTCACTGCTCCAGTACTTGAGTTGTTCCACTGATGGGTCTCAAAAGTACACCAAGAGAACTCCCCACCAGAATTTTAGTATCAAAGATCTGGCTTGCTACAGATTTCAACTTCCAACTATGAACTGAACCCTCTTCCTAAATCTGCATTCAAAATGCTAACATCTTGCAGATAAATAGAAGCATTTTTACATCACTGATTGTGTACGCATATGCCACCTATAGTCTTGCTTTCATTATTTGTTTTTTTTTCTTCGCAGGAACCAAACTCTTCAGCATTTCTATTAACTGGATTGAAAAAAGGGGGATCTTACTAGCAAGAGATGTGGACCTTCCTCTTTGTCTTGTTCAGGAGGTGCTCACCAGACAGCCATATCCCCCCCTCTCTCTTTGGCAAGATCATGAGAACCCACTTGCCTTTTTCAGATGCCTTTTCTTCATAGCACCTGAAATTTTTTTTTCCTGCAAAATGAGTGACATGTTAGAAAAGTCTCAGGACTACAAATCCTATGTGGACCATTTGCCACGTGTATAGGGCTCAAAACATACCAGTGATGGAGGTACCGATTATATAGCCTAAGGCTAATGGACCACCTTAACAGAAAAAGCAGCCCTAAAATTGCTGTTTTGTATTACAACTAAAAGGAGAATCTCACTGCCATACTGTCATGTTCAAGGCCAATCACACATCTAACGTATTCCCAAATGCAAAAGCATTAGCTTTTTTGGGGGAAAAATCTAGCTCCTTTCCTTTCTTTTTTGCTAGACTAGCAAACAATTTTGAGAGCCAGTTACAGTGCTTATTATTGCCTGCAATTAGCATTTCAGAGGTGTATTTGATGAAGAAACAGTGAGTCTCTTTTCATATTCTTAACAAGGAAAAAAAATCAAAACAGGCTTCTAGTTGTGCAGCATCTGGCCATGCTCTTTTGTCCAAACTGAAATGACACATTTAAACAGAAATGTTTAAAACAATTTAAACTTGCCTTTATTTCTTTGAAGGGTAAAGTATTTCCTTTGCAGCTTTCTAAAAAAAACCCAAATTTTAATGTACATCCATGGAGAAAGGGTAAAACATGAAGTTTCCTCTACCCTTCCTCCCAGATGTTTGACTGCTACAGAAAGCAAGACCGGCCAGCCACTCAAGGAGGTTTAAAATTTCCGAGCTTTTGTGAGTTTATATGGCTAGTTAAACATTAAATTGTGTTAATATACATACTGTATATTTTATAAATTAATACAAGCAGAGGATCAGGTATTGTTTAAAACTGCAATTCCTTAAGTAGCTGCGGAGCTTTAGCAGGCCGTGTTGATTACGGAAAACGCAGCCCTGTAGCCTGGAACACCAATCCTGGCAAACTTTTGAGAAATGTTAAAACAGTTTTTTGGTGAAGTGGTGCATGTTATAAAGGGAATAAAATTCCCTGGAGGAAAATAGTATCCCTTACCTGAGGTAGCACAAAATGGTTCCAAGATCCTAAAGGCCACCAATAAAAGCTCAGACACATTACTAAGTGGAAACTACAGGGTTTGGTGATGAGATGGTGTTTACATAGTTTAGGCAGTGGTATCAGCTGAAGGTATTTTTAATGGGATAAACAGCCTCTCTCACTATAGTCCTCATGAAACACTGGACAAAGAAAACTACTATTGGGACATAACAGGAAAGTACACTGCTGAAAAGAATTGACAAAATATCCCTTAATTTTCTCTATAACTACTTCCAGTATTTAGTGGAGCACTCTGTAACTTGATCTTTATGAAACAAAATGAAAATTGGGATTTATCACTGGGAAGAGGAGGATAAAAAAGATGGCTTAGCCACCTGAGCTGCAGGGTGGTGGGGAAGGTGCAAAAGAAGGAACAACAGACTGCATTATCTGTAGTTTAAAACTTACTTTTAAAATTTTTCTAGCATTTTAAATGCTATTTTCTCTGCAAAGCCAGTTTTCTGCTACATATAAAAAAAATTTAGGCATCCTAAAAATCTGCATTATCATGTATCATTAGCAGGCAGAGGAAGCTTATCATACCTGCTATTTCATATGTTTATGCTGTGAGTGCTGTTTATGTAGTAGATATAATATCACAAGAAAGAGGTATGGGTATATCAAGGATTGCAGAACAACGAAAACATCTTGAGGAGAGAACTATAAAGCAAGGGATTAAAAACTCTTCAGTGAAGACTGAGCATGTACAGTGATCACAGAATGCTGACTGTTGGGGAAGACGGTGGGGGAAAACAAGGAATGGAATTAAGTGGCTGGAATTCTGAGCGATAGCACACCATGATGGAACTTTTTATTTTTTATTTTTGGGGGGCAGTCTCACTTCACAAGCATTTGCATCAAAGCACTCCAGTTTCCCTGGCGTGAGAGCGTGCAAAGACCATCTCATCATTACAAATCCAGTTTCCAAGATAGAAAACAAAACAAAACAAAAAAGGTGGAGGTGGGTGGCATAACACTGTCAGCAAAACAGCATAGTTTTCTCAAGCCCAGTGTGAGCTTTAAAAGCAGCAGCAACTGACTAAGCAAGAGACAGCCAGTTTGTCTGTTGCATTGTCTAAAGTAGAATGAAGTCTCTATCAAGTCAGTATTCTATAGCCAGAAGGAGGCATATGTAATGCAGCAATAAACTTTAAAAGATTTTATTCTGTCAAAGTTATTTTGTTTTCTATTTTAGATTAAAATACAAATTATTTAAAAAAACAGTCTGCTTTCTTTTAAGAATCAGAACATTCTAGGACTTAGTTCCAAACAGTGTATTTCCTAGCCACAAATATATCCATGCTTAACCTTCATCTAGCAACAAAAAATAGTGTTCTATCTGAACAAAGGTGTTTTGATACCCAGGGATCTCACTTTCTTGAGCATGTTTTCTCTTATACAGTACATCCCTCTTTATGCTGTTCTAACAAAAAAAAGAGCAAACTTGTGACCTACATGACTACGCTGAAAGTGCCATCATCAGAAATTTTACTTCAAAACCAAGATGTAGTTTGGTAAAGGCATCTCAAATTCACTTAAAAATAACTCACACACACCTTCCATCTCTCTCCATTTCAAACCTGAATCGAAAAGTCATCATAATTAACAAAAGACAAGAAGGACAATGGCATTCAGCAGAATGAGTTGGCTGTGATTTCTTAGCACCTGATGAAGCAACTGACATAGGACAGAACGTTTACATGTATGACTGATAACACAAATTATGATTTATAAATATTTAAAGCCCCTCATTCAGCAATATTTAAAAATTAAATGCAAATTGCTATTCCAGTGTTTCAGTCACAATTTAACATCTCTTTATCACCCATGCCGTGAGTGCTGGTGTTTCTGCATTAGAAATAATATCACAAGAATTTTTAATATAAATTTTTATTGTAGATTTTGAAATGAAAATGAGAACAAGGAAAAGTTCTTCTCTCCTTTTATATAGGCTGACTACAGTTTGGTATTAACTACAAAGTTCATCCTCTCTGGGGAATCAATACAGTTTACTTTCCTTCCTTCCTTTCCATTTTATACACTTTCATTCTCTGAGAAAACTGACTAGAAACTTGAGCAGGATCTACCAGTCCTGTACACTTTTTAATGTCATACCCTTATTCTGAATCAGATCCTTCTGCATCATTCTCAGAATCCGACTCTTCATTTTGCATTCCTGCCTCTTCTAACCACTCCTCCTCCTTTTCACGAGCCAGCAGTTTCTTAAAAATCTCATACTCCTCAACAGAGGAGTGGGCTATTTTCGTCACAAAGTCATGTTCTGATGCTCTGATTAAGGCTTTCAGTTTGGGATTGACAACCTGAGTTTGTCCTTTTTTGTCAGGAGTCTGATAGCGTCCCAAGCGCTCCAAGAAAATGACCCGGTTCTTTATCCTTTCCAGTGGTACTTGGAAGTAGCAAGAATTCGTAATTTCTTTGTGCTTAACTCCCATCCTGAAATATGCAAACTGAGGAAACAAAAGAGACACATCTGATACTACCTGTCAAGTGGAATTAATCAGTTCTTAAATGGGCTACGGTTAATATTGTAAGCCATGGACACAATCCAACATAGATTTGGCTACATGTAAGCCTACTGAAGTCGGTAGTCTTAACACTCTGCAGAGTTATGCACCAAGAATTGTAAAAGGTGGCGAATTATTTCTTTGACTTAAGTTCTAGAATTTCTAGATATACTTCCCTACTATTCTGCTTTTGTTTTGTCTTACAGTTGGATTTAACAGGTCATGAGCTCACATAACTCGCATGGCTATTGATTTTAGATAATTTTTCCTAAATTTGGAAAAGTATCATAAGTCCTTAATGCAAAACAGAAAAGGCATTGACTGTGGTGGGGGAGATAGAATAAGAGGGAAACTGATTGTTTTCAGAGAATTCCCATATCCTTCTTAAAAACTTGCAATAAAAAGGATGCAACAGTGGAAGACTCCGTACTTTGAAAACATGAGTCATGTCCCTCTTCACACTTCTAAGTAGAATCTTAATGGCAGAATAGAATTCCCATTTTAAAAAGATAGGAAGCTATTGTATTTATTAAAATACAGTCAAAGGCAGGTCCATTGAATGGTGAAAGAAATTCTAAAGAGTTTGCACATGACAAATTCTAGCAACAAGCAAATGAAGCAGGAAGCAAAAGCACATTCACTGTAATATATTCTATCCATCAGTGTTTGGGAAAGGGCAAAAACAATGTATAAAGTTTTAAAAGCAGAGTGACATTCTAGAGAAGGAAATAAGAAGCATATATAGTTAGTGTCCTATTAAAAGTAAGCTTTGATTCCTGCACAGATTCACCTGAGAGGGTCACCTATAAGAACTTCTAGCACTGAGAGCATGAATTGAGCAATGCTGGCTAATCCTCTAGTAAGAGGTTGTGCCCTTATTAGACAGCACTGACTATAGTTACCGACAGTAGCAAACCAGTTTTTCCTGAAAACACAGTGCAACATACATTACCTGGAACTGGTACTCCACGTCACTTAGTTCCTCTAGCAGTATAGATGGGCACAACTGTAAAATTCTTGATATCTGCTCCATTGTGAAGAGACAGTTGTCTCTGAGGAGCTGTTCCAGGGCCACAAATCTCTTTGCAGGCAGTGTAAAGATCATTGGAAAACTATTTGCCATATGGTTCAGGCTACCTGTTAAAATTAAGAGACACACATTAGATAGAAGCAGATGAATAATGCGATGTAGTGGTTAGAGTAGACTTGGAAGTTCTGGGTTCTAGTCCCTGGTCAGCTATGAAACTCTATGACTGGCTATGGGTCACGGCCAGTCACATCCTCTCAGCCTGAACCTATCTCACAAAATTGCTGTGAGGATAAAGTACGGTGGAGGAATATCATGTACACTGCCTGGAGCTCACTGAAGAAAAAAAATAAGATATAAGAAATATATATAATCAATAAATGTACATCAAATAAAGTATTATTCTCAGTCTGCCTTTATTTAGTTAGGCCAAAATCTGTTAGGTCAGTGGTTCCCAACCTTGGGTTATCTAGATGTTCTTGGACTGCAACACCCAGAAACTCTGGCCAGCACAGACAGTGGTGAAAACTTCTGGGAGTTGCACCTGGGTTACCCAAGGCTGAGAACCACTTATGTGATTGTGAATGTGCAATTGCACAACCAATGCCAGCACTGATAGATCAGACAACAGACAGCTGGCAAACTATGAAAACTGTGCCCTTCAATGTGCAGTAATATGCAAGAGATGTTTGACTTTACTACATTTATTTCTCTCCCAATGTAAACATATTTCCAGAGTGGCTATTATGGATGCCCTTTATTCATGTGCAGTTCTTTGCAGATGTGTGTGTGTGTGCACAATGTGCAAAGAAGGAAAAGAAACATTAAGTGAAACCAAAAGAAAATTCAACTAAGGCAATGATATATAGGTAGTTATTTCAGAAATAAAAATACAGATACAATCCTTATTAACTATACTGAAGAGGGAAAAAATAGTACCAGAATCTTGTTGTGGTTTTCCACTGGTGTAAGTGTAACAATAACCAGCAAATGTCTAGGAATTTAAGCAACAACTCTTTAATTTGTAATTTGTTGTTGTAATGTATGCACTTACACTTATATCAGTGTAAATCCACAATAGATTTCTGTCCATTCTGTATAAGATAAATACTAATCTACAATCTACATACCAAGCAAACCTGGTGGAGAAAAAATGAGACTGAAAAAGCAAAAGAATCTGCTGCTTTTCTTGCATTTCCATCAAAGATTTTATTGGGCAAACATTTTAAAAGTCAAATTCCTGATTTCAATTCCAGTCATCAAACTTTCCATGTTTCATTTTCAGTAACAAATAGCACTAAGGAATAGACACGAATTTAGCCTGACTTTTCATGATAAATCTCTGAACCTGAATCCACATTTGTGATGTATTTAATGCTGGAAATCTAGACAATGATTGCAAACATATTTTGATCAATACAAACAAACTTTCCTTCTTAGCATCTTGAGGATTGTTTGACTTACACCTTTCCTACATGCTTGCTTCTCTGTCTCTTAATTAAACATTGTCTGTATCCAAAAATTAAAAGGTGATGCTCACAGAATACAAGCAAATTAAGTTTCAATAATCCAGTGTGTTAGGGAACATAAATAAAATAATTACCTTCTGTAAAGCCATATTTCCGCAGAAGAGCTGCACGAGCCATCATATGCTTTTCTGGCATTCTTAACAGTTCAGGGTTCTTCTTTAGGGCCTTCAATATGAAATCGGTACTTATGCCCAGGAGGAACAGCTCTGAAACTACAGCCAATATGGACTGAGGTGATAATATGGACTGCAAGCTGAACAAGTCCTTTATCTCAGCAGGGCTGAATCCCATGTCCAAGAACGAATCTGCTATCTTCCCTAGCTTTGATTTGATTTGATTCAAGTGGTCCACACCATCTGGTCTTCTCTGTTCCACTTGGGAGGTAGTGCAAGCTTCCAAAAGCTTCTGAGAGCTTTCATTGCTGTTTACTTTGAAACTATGAAGGGCCACACTTGCTTCATGAGAACTAGTGCCATGAAATCTGCAGCCTGGGTGCTGAAAAGAGCACAAACGAGCAACCACTGATGCTTTCAGAGACAACTGGATACAATGATAGGCAAAGGGAATGGAACTGTGCCTCTGTAAGACCTACAGACACGGACAACAAAACTCAATTTAGTAGAATAATTACGTTCCACAGAAAAGATCAAGGATAAGAACTAGGCACCTAAAGAAGACTTGCAAAAATAAAACCACGAATTTTATCATTATTTCAAAGTCACACACTAAAATATTGTGTACTGATCAGTACTCATGGCTTGCAAGAATCATGCATAACAGAATAGACTACACCTGAGCTTCATACCATGCAGGTAAATAATTTATTTCTTTACAGCAGACAAGAGATGTCATTTTACCTATTTTTAGAACATACAGTTAACAAAGCACAAACCAGTTCAGGATCGGTCCAAGTCACAATTAATGACAGTGGGTGTTTACAAAACCATGTGGTAAACCATTTAACACCCACTTGTACTTCAAAAGGGAGGATGGGAAGAGAAATCCTTAGTCCTGGGTTTGTCTTAATCTTAAATAGCAAAATAAGATCCTCACTGTTCTGCTAAAACGATCAGATATCAGCGATATCTTATAATCTATAGTTGATACTCTAGTATTCCAAAACACATTTTAAAGAGACATTTTTGTTCTTGCCCTATATGCAGTACCACAGAGAGAAGCTGTTGCTCCTGTGGTATTCAGTGATGGCATTCCAACTGCATCTCAGACAATATAAGTACCTTCATCCATTGAAGGAAGGAAACAACCCACATCTATCTGGCCACACTGTGGCAAAGCATCAGCTTCTCACCATCCCATTACTTGTTCTTTTTGAATACAGTACTCTCAAAATCGCAATGCAAGTTATCTGCTTCTTAATTTTTCATTACAATACCGTAAAAGCTAAAGAATGATACAGTAAATGATTTCCCATACACATTTAGGGTTGCCAGATACACGGGTATTAAAAGGAGGACAAAGAAAGACAAAAAGGAGGACAAAGGAGGACATATTGAATGTTTCATTTGAATCATTCCAGATTAAACCCACAATCAATACAATTTTATTACAATAGCTGTCAATAAATGTCTCTTAGTGAACAGACCAAGAAACAGTCATGTTAAAAATTAAAAATAAATTCAATGGAGGCTGTTTTTCAAAATACCGGGGGTGGGCAGGCAGATGGGGGCGGGGAAAGCGGGTCCTTCTACCTCTCCCCCTCCCATCCAAAATTATAACATAAAATATACAAAAGCCTGACATTTTAGAGGTTTTTATCTTTGCCTGCCTGACGGATGACATAAGGCTAAAAAGTAGGACATGTCCTCCTTTTGCCTGACATCTGGCAACCCTATACACATTGCATCTGAGTAACTAGGCCTGCCTTCTGCATAACAAAAGAACATAAAGGTGGGCACTGAGGATAACAGAAATGGAACGAAGAGACTAAACTGCAAACCAAAAAGCCTCCAACTGAATTTTGCCAGGAATTCACTACAATTAGGCAAACTATACACCCGCCTCAACATCTTCATCTGCAATGTAGAAATAACAATACTCTACTGCTTATTTGTTATTGTGAACCATTACATGGATAGCAGTTATTAGAAAAGGTAGCCATGTCAGGCAAAAACAAAATAAAAATATAGGAGACAAAAACATTATGGCATCTTTTTTTAATTATAGAAAAATAATAAAAACAAAAACATTATGGCATCTTAAAGACTAACTGCTATATTTTAATGTGAACCTTCGTGGACAAGTCCACTTCCTCAGAATGTAAGTCTTTAATGTGCCTCAACGTTTTCGTTTTATTTTTTCCCTTCTGTTTTTGCCTGATATTATATGGATCCTTATAGTATAACACTTTTTAAAAATCACGATTTACAAACTATGCGATCATTTGCATGGCACAAAAGCAGCTTGAGAAGGTGCTGCCTCTCCCCAAATTTCGGGGAGGGCGCAAGCATCTGTTCTCCCGCTCCGTTACAAGCGACCTACAGCCTCCGATTGGAGCGGGACCCCGAGATTTCCTAAAGACAGCAATGAGCTGGCTCCCCCGGTTCAAGAAACAGAGCTTTGTTCTGTCGTCCTATGCCAGCAACAGGGCTCAAAACACAAGCACAAGAATCAGCGTCGAAGTTACGAAGGCTGTTCACACTGGTGGTAATAGTCTTTAATGATGATGATTCGGCTGCTGCCGTGCGGGGGTTGGCCCGCTCGCGGGTGATGTTTAGCAGACAAGCTCGCGAAAAGAGACGCATATTCACCCACCTGCCCACAAAGTCGCCCCAACGCCCTGCTACTCATTTTCCCCGCCTGCAGAAGCAGCTGCTGGAAAAGATTGAGGCGGAGGATGTTCACGCAAACTCTGTCCGCCCGGGAACGAAAACTAAAAGGAACGTTCCGCTGTGTTACGGAGGCACTGGGACCGTCGTAGGCAATCCGCGGTGGGGTTGTACGGTGTGAGTGAGAAAAGGCAGTGGCAATGTTGTTTTGCATATCAAAATCGAAATTCATACCTATATGTGTTCACGTATCAAGGAGCTAGGCTAGAATACAGTATATAGCTTTGGCCGGTGGACTTCCTTTCCCAAAAACTGTATCTGTGTCAGATTCGGGTTTGCTGCCGTATCATATACGAAAAGATGTGCTCAGTTTTCTCTTTAAGAAGACATAGCAACGGAAGCAACTAGGAAGCAGTAAAAGCTGCCTGGGAAAAATAGTGGATAATTTAATTATCGGGGTGGGGGTGGGGAGACGCGCTGGTTGAAGAGCAGAGTTCAAACAGTCTCCTGTCCACAAATCCAGAAACTGGGAACCAAGAATGTTTCCTCAACAGGCGAGCCTTCTGATCGGAAATGATGGTGTGCAGTGTCCCAAATTATACTTCCTTATTATTAGAACGGGGTGGGAAAAGTGCAATTTCCAGAGGGATGCCTGGACAACGGCCTAGCTCTTTTTTCCTGCAGAAAAGGTGGATTGCAGCTCCAGCAGTTGTGAAGCCTTTGACACAGGTTACAGGAGCCCCCATTGCTATATCACCAACAAATGTCCACTTTTCAAAACCCAAAGTGGACTTCTAGCCTTCTATGGATACTTTTTTCTTCTTTGCAATTTGTAACATTTTGGGCAGACTGCAGATTTTGGACAGTCCTGGGACAGAGAATTTGGCTCCTGGGCCTGTGAAAGTTGCCAACACCTGCGTTTGGACAAATGCGGCAAAACTGCATTTAGACTAACTCCTTCATCTGCAATAGTGGGAATGTTACCATTCTGCCCATTTCCACACCTGGAACCCATCTTGAAAAATTCTTAAGATAACATGTTCTTCTTTTTTTAACCTTGTCAAGAACATTGTGAGTTATTTCTAATTCATACCCATAAACTCATCTTACATGATCATGGCTCTCTGCGCCCATATTTGATCTTTACACCCAAATCCAGATGGTGAGAATGGAGTGCTTAGGGCAAGCAAAGATGCTCCATTTCTCCTGACTTTTTATTGTATATCTGAGCTTTACTATATGGTTATACTCTCAAAACAGCATTCAGTGCTTTGGCCTACACGCTGTCAACTTTGAGGACTACACGCAGCTAACACAATTATTTGCATGGTCAATGAAAATACACATATCCAAATGGAATACAGTACTTCCTATATTGTATGCATAGATCTGCTCATCATTTGTATGGGGTACATAGGAGAAATTCTGGATAAGTTAAAGTTATGAGAGGATTTCCTTAAAATCAGCACAGATGAAAAAACTAGCATTTCTAGGATTTTAAACTGTTCTTCTACTACAGTACAAACTTTTATTGATGTTATAGGAAATGTGATTATGTCTCAAAGCATGTGATGGTTACCTGTTGTTCTATCACTTTTATATATACCATCAAGTTGTTTCCGACCTATGGCAACCCTGTGAATTAATGAACTCCAAAAGATTCTATCTTGCAAACTCCAAGCCATGGTTTCCTTTATTGAGTCGATCCATCTTTTATTTGGTTTTCCTTTTCTACTTGCTTTCAGCTTTTCCCAGCAAGTCTTATTTCCTCATGATATGCCTAAAGTGCAACTGCCTCAGTTTAGTCATTTTTGTTTTTAAAGAAGATTCATGCTTGATAACAAATAACTTATTTGTTATTCTGGCTATCCATGGTACTCATAAAACTCTCCCCCACACTACATTTCAAATGAATTTATTTATTTTTCCTAGCGGCTTTCCTCACTGTCCAGCTTTCCCATCTGGACAAAGTAACAGGAATACTATAGTATAGATTCTCATTCCTTTAGTCTCCAGTGACACATCTTCACACATCGATGACACAGAACTTTTCCGGGTGGTGAAGACCAGAAGGGATTGTGAAGAGCTCCAGAAGGATCTCTCCAAAGTGGGAGAATGTTGGAAGAGTGAGAACAGACAAAAGAAAGTATTTCTTTACTCAGCCTGTTATTCTATGGGACTCCTTGCCACAAGGTGATGGCATCTGGCCTAGATGCCTTTAAAAGGAGATTGGACAGATTTCTGGAGGAAAAGTCTATTGCAGGTTACAAGCCATAATGGGGATGTATAATCTCCAGGCTTAAAAAGGAAGGTACTTCCAAAATGCCAGATGCACGGGGGGGGTTTGTGGGGACAGGTTGTCTTGTTTGCTCCATCGGGCATCTGGCAGGGCCACTGTGAGATACAGGAAGCTGGACTAAATGGGCCCTTGGCCTGATCCAGCAGGGCTCTTCTTATGTTCTCACGCTATAACTGCCCTTTGGGGGACTGAACTGGCTTTGAAGATGAAGCCCAGCATGTACTGCTGACAGACACCACATCATATTCATACATTCATTAAATCAGTCATGTTTCTCCCACCAAATTTTATTGATCTGTCATCTGAATCTGATCCAGCTCTGTTGTGATACATTATGCATACAAAGTGAACAGAGAGATACATCATTGGCTAACACTTTTGCTTATGGGAAACCTTTTAGTTTCCCCATGTTCTGTTCTAACTGTAGCTTCTTGTTCAGAGATTGTCATACCAGGACAATCAAGCAGTGAGACTGCACACATTTATTTCGGAACAATCCATAGTTTATCATGATCCACACCTTTATTTCGGAACGATCCATAGTTTATCATGATCCACACAAAAACTTTTCTGTAGTCAATAACACATAGAACGATTTTCTCTTTTCTTTTAATTATGGGAATTGCCTTTTTTGCATTTTTCCCTGATAATTTCTCTGGTTTCAATCTGCTGTTCTACTGGCTGATGGTTAACTACAGGAATTGTCTTCTTGCATTCTTCCCTGATTAATTTATTTGATTTTAATCTAATTTCTTTATACTTCATAAAGCACACCTGTTCTATTTTTGGACTTTAATCAGAAATACTATTCAAATTATATTTTGACACTGTGGTGCTTTTGGTATCCTTCTTCAGCTTTACCTTAATTTTTAATGTTAACAGTTCATAGTCAGTACCATAGTCAGCTCCAGGGTTTTGGAAAGTTCTACTAGAATCATGCTGGAGTTGTTTAAAATAACGTTACACCAGTGTAACCCATTTAAAACTATATATGAACTGTGTATGTTTTAAACTTATAATCTATTTCTTGTGTTTTTCTCTTTTTCCTTCTTTTTTGTTTAGTTGAATCCGACATTCCCTCTAAACTGCACACCTGCACACCTCTGCATCAGGGCCATGCAGCTGAACCAGTGTTGCCACCCATTTGTTTCTGGTTGTGGCCAGAATCCTGCAAGCACAGGGTGGGGGCCTCCACCCAGCACTCTGGAAAATTACCAGAATCCTGCGAGCACAGGGTGCGGGCCTCCACCCAGCACTCTGGAAAATTAGAGGGCACATTGGTTGAATCTGTTTTTACATTTATGCTATCATATAATAGTATAATCTCTTTTGGGTCCCAGGAGGGAAGGAGGTGGGTTGTAAATGAAGTTAATAAATAAATCCTTTAGGAAAGGATCTTCCTGGTATTCATGGATAACTTTCCTTATCTTCCTATTCAAACTCTCAGGAAAGTAATTCATCTTTTGGATATGAAATTCACACAACAGCCTTGAGCCAGTCATGCCCACAGCCTAATTAATTTCATAGCATGATTGGGAAGGGAAAGAGGGAGAATAAAAACATTAAGAAAAACTGGATATCTTAGTGGTTTTGGTATCTGGCTGCCAAGCCAGAGACTGGGAGTTCAGTTTCCCACTATGTGTCCTTGACAGAGCTAGACCTGATGATCCATAGGGTCCTTTCCAGCTCTGCAGTTCTAAGATTAGGATGACGATTCCAGTTTAGTATCCTTGAAGGAAAAGCAGAATAAAAATATAATAAAGAACTGTGGGACATTTGATTGATTGTAAAGGGAAAACTGCAAATTAAAAAGAGTTGGGGTATAGAAGGGAACAAAACCTGATGACATCACCTCATAATATAGACGCATTTGGACATATGGACATTAAGATACTGTTTATTCTAGTTACTTTGACACTTTTAGTTTATAAACCATAGCAATCTACAGTATGTAGAATTCAGGATACCTAGTCAATCTTCACTGGAGTTGCACCTTGATCAATTTTCATCTGCATGTTCCTAAAATCTTCTTGAAATATGTTATGATATTGTGGTAATAGTTGAACTGATCTGGCAATGAATTATGAAGACTGTGGCCAAAATCCTGTTGTACAACTCCACCTGTGCAACAGAACTGACACCATGGTAGCAGCAGATTGCCACAATTAAAACAGTCTATAAGTTTTGGGTTATGTACAGGTTGCATTCAATGAGATGAAGCCACATGCATCCTGAAACTGAAAGAGCAAGTCTTTAATCAGTGACAATCTGCCACTGACAAAAACATCGTTTCAGCTGTGCAGGCAGAACTTGCCTGACAGCTGTCTGACTTGTGAGTATGAGTATTGGCCCAATAAATACTGTCCCCCAAGAACAAGTAGAGAGAGAGGGATGAGTGCACATCTTTTCAGGAACAGGATATATTCATCAGTTTATTCTCAATATCTTGCCTTTGTTTTACACTCATACATAGAGTGAGAAAGAGAGTTACCATAACTCTTCCAAAAATTATTTTCACTGCTGAACAGACTGATGGAAGCTGAAGGAAGGAAAGCTAAACCTTTTGGTACACTCAATACAGTACAGGAGTAGCCTTCAAACCATGGTTCAGTAAAATGAAAACCAGTAAGGCTTACCCCATAAATAATCACTTGAAGATAGTTATATTATTGAAGTGCCTACCCCCCAAGTCCATGAGAACTAAATATAAGTATACCAGTCAGTTTCATCTAACTGGCCATCAAGATATGCAATTAGTACTGAAGAGATTATTCTGTGTTGCACTGAAATCAGGGCTCATTTGGGAGGAAAATAACAATATTCCGAAAAATAATTCAAAGGAGAATAATAAAATTTAGTCTGAGAATTTATAAAAATGCTGTCATTAAGATTAAAATTTCACAGATAATCAACAGAAATATAAAATCATTTTTAAAAGATGGAGAGTTGTACCAAACTAAATATAAATATTCTGATGTCTTCTTTCAGCAGAATTAAAAATTGTATACTAATTAACACAGTCAGAAATGTCAGACTAGATTTCTTTGCTCACAAGGTGAAGGACTAAGGTTCAAATGATCTACAATAAGTGGAAGTTAGAACTTATAACTGTTAGAAATCCCTCCTAGGTAACAACCCAGTCAACTTGCAGTTTCACCTATTCTCAGTTAATTTACATTGCCAACCATCTTTAACTGAGTGCATACGATACTGTTGTTCCGGTAAGAAGCACAAAAGCCTGGCCTCCTATTCAAAAATTTAAACTTTTTTGGAGTGTTAAACATTGAATATTAAAGTTCAGTTCAGCAATCTAAGCCGCTTCACTAACACAGACTTATGTTGTGGTTAGTAATTACAGCCAAGTTAACAAGTAGTAATGGGGCTGCTCAGCAAGGTAAAGAAATGGGGCTGTGATTTCTGTCCCCCTCCACTCTGAATGCTTGTGTCTAGCCTGTAAGGTTGCCAAACATCCAGGTATGGAAATCATTTAAACAGTGCCTGAACATGAAAAACCACCAGGTAGGATTGAATCATATGGTTGGTTCCTTGATTTTATGTAGCACATCTGTCACATACTGTCATTTACTCCTAGGATTATTTGTACATAGACACTATGGGATGCCAGCATGTGGAAGTCCAAAAAGCCTATAGGTGTAACAGGTGCCCAGGGTGGGTAGAACAATCTGCCTGATCACAGAACTTGTAAAAGTAAATTTGTGTCCTCATAGCAAAGGGAAAAAAAGTGCCTATGGAAGAGCAAGTTGATGTCCAATGAACAGATTTCTTTAGTCCCGACTTTGGAGAGAGGTTGATGGCTCCTGATCTACAGAGGCTGTACTTCTTGCCGGCTGAGAATTCACCAACTCATGGTTACTGAAATCATCATTAAAACTTTGCTCGTTCTCTAGGCTTGGAACTGCCCAAATGCCAGCATGACGGCAGCCAGTAGAACACATTTTAGAATTGTTCCTTTCTGAGGAGTTAAAAAAATTGAAATAAACAGTACATTAATATGACTAAACCACATATATTTCCCAATAGCTGTTGCAGACTTCGACAGCAGCTACCAGATTGACACTATAATACTTTCTATCCAAGAGAACTAATCCACATGGTACACAGTGGTAGCCTTCAAAATCCTTGAACCAACTGAGTTGAGCAGAAAGTTGCTCCCAGCTGTGTTCTCCAGCAGATCTTGCACAGCTGGAAACTAAGGCAAGTTTTGAAAGTAACTTTCAGAAACTTTCTTCCTACCTGCTTTGGCAAATATTTCCTCCCAGGAGTATTTAGCCAAATTTACATGTTGTGTCACCCAAGGATCCTCCACTACCGTTTCTAATGTTGTGCGATCCTCTGGAAAAGGTTGTAACAGTCCAGTCAGGAGATCCATTAGGTCTGAGGGCAAGAAAAAGGAGGAAAAAAACACAATGTAAGTAGCTTTTACACTGGCCTCTCTTTGCCTCTCAGCCATAAACAGTTCAACAACTTGAACAAATAAATTCAGCATCCATGTGCATTTCAGTAGTACTACGGCAAAGATAGGCAATCTCCAATGTGGTCAAAGACAGTTTTTCAGAATTGCTGCCAGCCTAAGGGCTGCACTTCCAAATTTGCATATTAAATTGT